TTCAATATTAAGCCGTGATAATACACACAGGGCTGTAAAACCTCCTTCCTATAAACACATTCAATATTAAGCCGTGATAATATAGCACAGGGCTGTAAAACCTCCTTCCTATAAACACATTCAATATTAAGCCGTGATAATACGCACAGGGCTGTAAAACCTCCTTCCTATAAACACATTCAATATTAAGCCGAAAATCACAGACGACTATCGTGCATAGCTCTCTAATAAATTTGGGCAAAATTCGATAAATAAACAAAATATAAATGTTGCTCAAACGTATTTTACAGCCCTGTGCGTATTATCACCTAGAAAGGGTGGTGTTCGTTATCTGCCTTCTCTGTACTGTCAAAACTTTCACTGCTATAATTGAATAGTGGAATTTGACCGTTACTCTTATGATGTATTCATGTACGAAAGATGCATAGCTCTATTTCTATTTTTGGCAGTAATGAGGCGCAAACCCCCACGATTTAAGATCCACAGTCTGACATGTTAACTGTGGGCCACGCTCTGCCCACAATGTTTAAAAAAAACTAAGTTTTCCCGTATCTGGTTGAACGCCAAATTTGAAAATACAAACAGTATAACATTAGAAAGCTAGTAAATTTCACGAAAATGTGGTAGCTACTAAAGCAATATCGTCCGCGATGCCAGTTAACTCCCAGGGGAAAACCCTCTCCCCTTCACTGTACCTATTGTGTTTTCTCAAGTTAACCAGCTCCGCCTATTGAGAGAAAGATGTATACGTTCACAAAAACATTTAGCTTCATGTAATTGATCACAATCTTATTTGTATGAACCAAGAATATTTGATATTAGAGTAAATTTATTTTATTTTAATTGGTTCTTCATGTTTGCCTTACAAGTTAACAAAAGAGTGTTTTAAAAAGAAACATAAAAACCTTAATTCTGACGAAATATTCCAAAATATTATCATCATATTTGTTACGTGTCTACGGTTCCTTCTCCGCGGAGTTGAGAGAAAATGCACGAAAATATCAAGCCCATTTTATTTCTAGCATATTAATTTATTTTCCGTTATCTTTCCTTTATAGGCATTTAACATTTATAAAATAAAGTAGATTTTCGTTACTAGCACATTAAACTATAATTTAGTTATCATTAAATCATCACTACAATTTATAGAGTTTTGTGTTTCTTTAATGACGAGAAATACCTTTAGTTTTTCTATTAATTCGTTTCGACAAAATGAGAGTTAACAGATATAGGAGAGTTTTTTTTTTTATTAGAGAAAAGTTGACATGAACAAAATTTACTAGAATGTTGAAAATAACAGATTATATTTACATTCACATATACAAAATTATCTATCTGTTAAATTCA